GCTCTGATAGACGAAATTGATAGAACGAGTGATCGTTACAAGATAAAGGTTCAGATAATCAATCTCTGGAAATCATATCGTAAAAATAAGGTTACATCCATAGAGATGGTATTAGCAGATGAAGTGGTAGGCAATGTTAATGTTTTATATCTATATATATGAACATGCATCATATAGTAAAATTATGATATGAATAACTTAAATATTAATTAAGTTTTTGACTATATCAGGGTTCTAGGATTCATGCAACTGTTGATGGAGATTTGGTGGAGCAATTTAATTCAGAATTAACAGAAGGCCGTACTATATTCTTAAGCAACTTCACTTTCAAAGATTACACTACTGCATATCGGACAAGTCCTTTATCTTTTAAAATAAGTTTCTACAGGACTACTGTTATAACACCTTGTGATGACTTTCCTAGGGAACTTCCTTATAGATATATTAAGGAATTTTCAACTATAAGTAATGGGGATTATGACAACAGTGTTTTAATAGGTATGCTAGATATATTTTGTTTACTATATTTATCGAGTTATACTGTGATATAATACATCTTATCTGTACTAATTCTTTATAAATATTAATGTAGATGTCATAGGGCAGGTTGTTAGTCTAGAAACTTCTGACGTTATCGCTCAAGGAAAACCAATAAGAAAGTTGGACGTTGTTCTACGTAATGCCAGGTGAGTTCATAATGATATAATTTATGAAATAATATTTAGTTAGATCATATAATTTAGTTAGTTTGTTGATTACGTATAGTGATAATCGCTTGACTTGTACGCTGTGGGGAAATTTCGAAAAGAAAGTAATCGACTACGTGACGAAAAATACTGCGTCTGTGATCGTTTGTGTTGTTAGATTTGCTTCAGTGTCAGAATGGAAAGGTATATTTGAACTTAATTGTATTGATAATAGTTGTGATATAATTAAGTTTATCATATACGCTTTTTTAGAAATTTAAAATACTTTACTTCTAATTTCTTGTAGGAGTTTACAGTATTTCAAACTCTTTCAACGCAACACAGATATTTCTCGATCCACATTCTAAACAAATTGAAGATTTTCGAGCCTTGTAAGTAATGAAATCTGTTTGTTTGTGTATACTTTTAGAGCTATCATTAATACTAAAAGGAATGTCTTTTGTTAGGTTGCCAACCAATACATTTGTGATATCCAATGAACATAAGGTGCAATCACCATCCACTAAGTCTGTTTCATGGAAAGATGAATTCTTTGATAGAAATGAAAGAAAGACAATTCAGGGTATTGTTTATGCTGATACGGTACGTGTTCATTAAGTTTATTTTAAATTTATACATAATAATTATTTGTTTTATATATTTGAGAATGATCTGTTTTTTTATATTTAAATCAAATTCTTTTCGAGTGTAGGAAATGAAATGTGTTACTGCTGCGACAGTTGTTCGAGTCGAATATAATCCTATATGGTATTATATTGCATGCAGAACTTGCGATAAAACAGCTCATCCAATAGAATCTGATTCTACCGATGACGATTCCTTGCTATTTGATTGTAGAGAATGTGGCGAGGCTGTCTCAGATGTTATAGCCAGGTAAATGGTTCATTGATTCAAAGTAGTTATTAGAAAAAAATTTTATTTTTGGCTTTACAAATATTCATATTTTCGTAGGTATAAGTTAGTGTTGGTTGTTTCCGACGAGTCTGGCGAAGAGATAAGATTCTTACTGTTTGATAAAATCGCCAGCGCATTTCTCCGTGTTCAAGCAGATACTTTAGCTGAGGAGGTTGCTGAGGTATATCATTTTATAATACTTTGTGCACATTATCATATAATCTTATGTTATTTATGTGTAATGTCTTTTTATATTTTGATCAGGACGAAACTTTGGTGCTTCCACGAGCTCTTTCTGATTTGGCTGGGAAGAAGCTCCTTTTCAAAATCGGAATAGGAACGGAGAATCTGACTAACAGACGTCAAACTTATAAAGTTGAGATTGTTGTCGATGATGCAGATATGTTGAATAAGTTTGAAAATCATGGAATTCGATCCCTCGAACATGATTTAGAACTTAGGTACTCAGGTAGAGTTGCATCACTGACACCATCGCAAGTATCAAAACGAGTTTCAGAATCAGCCGTTCAAACGCCTAATGTTGACGAAAAAAGTAATAGCAAGAAGAGAGGAAGACGGCAATGAACAAACACATACGTTTTGAAATCTTCGAACTGATATTCTTATAATTCTCGATGTTGTTTTTTTTTATTTGGTTTTTCATATACTTTAGTACTGATATTTATGCATATTCGAATTTATGGTTTGTTTTTTTAGGATGCATTATTGATTCAAAGAATGAAAAATTCAAAACAAGTACTTAACTCTCTATATAAATTGAATATTACAGTTTGTGCATATATGCAATTTTATATTTTAATATTATCATAGTTTCATAAATTAACACATGAAATCGTTAAAGTATCTAAGATATCGATTACAGTATTAATATTAAATATTTTATAAACTTAAACTCACAAAAAAAGACAAAAAAAAAAAGTTAAATTAGGTCTGTTTCAAAAAAGAAAAAATGAAAACCCTACAAATTATAGGAAAACTCTACATATGTTTAAATAGTGTTTCTCATGCATGTATTTTAATATCGTACAAAAAAAGAAAAAGAAAACCTAATCAGAAACTATGGGGCCGAAGAAAAAGAGAATAACGAAACCTAGGGTCGTTAAGATACTTGTTGCAAATCGTCGTAAGTGTTTCTGTTTCTTTGAAAAAAATGCATGTATTGTTACTTTTGATATGCCGCTGAAACACCTTTCATCCTTAATACAGCAATCGTTTCAAGGGCTGAAACGTATGCACCAACGTTACCAAAATCAGTTTATCATCAATACATTGATATAGAATCTATTGGACGTGTTGGTATGGCTAGAATAGCCAGACAAAACAGACTGAATATCATTCGATCGAAGCGTGGTTTACCAACAATAAATAATTCAAAAGGTTATGTTGATTAAATACAATTTTATATTGTTTTATATAAAATATATGTAACTAACTTCATCTGATTGTGTAAATTTATAGATATATTGACAGAGTCCGTTGATGTCGATGATGTTCTTTGTTTTGTCGCTACTGATTCGGACACGGACGATGATAAAGATTCAGATGCTGTTCCGCCAAGTAATTCGAACAAACGACGACCAGGACAAAAAAAACCTAGACCACCGAATTATCCTGAATATAATTCATTCGCGAGTTTTGGCTTGATGGAAAGTGGTACAAATCAAAACAAATTCCCTTTTTTAGTATATATACAAGTTATTATATTTTAAAATTTTAAAATCAATTATAGGTTATTATGATGATGGTGATCAATCTTACATGTGTGACTATTGTCATGCTTTAATGTAGTTTGGAGAACGTATAAACAAGCACTCTCTATCTTCTACTCCAGTTTTCACAATGTGCTGTCTAAGTGGTAAAGTTCAGCTACCTTTATTGAAAGCTCCCCCAAAAACGTTGTTACAGCTATTGTATAATCGCGATAACACGAGGAAACACTTCCGTGAATTCATAAGAGCATACAATATGATGTTTTCGTTTACGTCACTTGGTGGAAAGGTTGATAATACTATAAACAACGGTAATGGTCTGTATCTATTCCAAATGTGTGGTGAAAATTATCATTTGATCGGAGATATGTTACCAGCACCTGGCAAACAACCAAACTTCCTACAATTATATATCCATGATACCATCAACGAAGTTAAAAATAGGATGAATGCTTATGGGTAATCTTCGATTTTTATTATAATATAATATTAGTATTTATCTATATCAATATTGTGTTTCATTTTTATAGATAATAATAGTTTCAAAAATGACTGTTCAAGGATGTTGGCAATTCGAGGAAGCTGAGAGCAGATATCGTGGAGCTTCTGAAGAAGATGTTAGATGATCATAATCCTCTTGTTAAAGCCTTAAGAACTGCACGCGAACGATTTGTTGGAAATCAAAATTCTAAAGGTTTTAAGTTGGTTCTTGCAAGTGGCCGAACTACTGATGGTAGAACGCATAACTTACCTACTGAGAACGATGTGGCGGCTTTGATACCTGGTGATTTCAATATGTTAACAGAAAAAATAGACATCGTTATTCAAAGCAATTCTGGAGGTTTATACCGTATAAGTGAATTGCATCCGGCTTATTTACCTTTGCAGTATCCGTTATTGTTTCCGTATGGTGAAGATGGTTTTAGATTGGGTATTGATATTGGCTATGTTGATACATCTGGAAGGAAACGCACAACCGTGACAATGCGCAAGTTTTTCGCATTTCGCATTCAAGACAGGCATGGAGAATCCCCAATCATTATGATGTCTCGGAGATTGTATCAGCAGTTTCTGGTTGACACATATACGATGGTAGAATCAAATAGGCTTCGTTATATATGGCATAATCAAAAGAAGCTATGGTGTGACAGCTTTGATAAGATTGAACAATCTGGTGAACGTGGCAATAATAATCTTTCTGAACAAGGAAAAAAGGTGCTTATACCTGCTTCATTCACGGGAAGTAAGAGATTCATGAGGAAACATTATCTAGACGCGATGGCAACATGCAAGTACTACGGATACCCGGATTTTTTTCATAACAATTACTTGCAATCCAAAATGGCCTGAGATAACGAGGTTTTTGGAAAAACATGATCTAAAGATCGAGGATCGACCAGATATTTGTTGCAGGATTTTTAAAATGAAGCTTGATAATTTAGTGAATTATCTAACGAAAGACCACGTTATGGGCCACGTTAACTCAGGTATGTCAAAAAGATTAAATATAAATAAAGAGTCATAATATATAAATCGTGCCAACTTATACTTAACGTATAGGTACTAATTCGATTTATTACATGTATTTTTAACTTTTTCTAATTGTTTTACTTTTATTTCAGCGATGTATACCATTGAATTCCAAAAAAGAGGATTGCCACATGCCCACATGGTTGTTTTCTTGAAACCCGAATCCAAACTACCAACAGGCGAGGACATAGATAGATTTATATCAGCAGAGATACCGGACAAGGACTTGGATCCAATTTTGTACGAAATAGTTGGAGACTTGATGATACATGGTCCATGCGGTGATGACAATCCAAAAAATGTTTGTATGCATGAGAAAAGGTGTACAAAATTTTTTCCTAAGCCTACTGGATCAGTTACTAAAATCGATGATGCTGGCTTCCCCAACTATAGACGCCGTATGGATCAAAGAACCATTCTGAAGAGGGGTGTTTTGTGTGATAACCGATATGTTGTCCCATATAATCCAGATCTCTTAAAGCGTTTTCGGGCACATGTTAACGTTGAGTGGTGCAACCAAACCAGGTCTATAAAGTACCTATTCAAATATATAAACAAGGGTCCAGATTACATTAGAGCAGCAATCGAGGATGAAGACGGTAACCCCGTTATATCCCAAGATGAGGTTGAGCAACATTACAATTGCAGGTAACTTTGCGAAACTAATTTTTAAGATTAGATCGCTTGAATAATTACTTAAGTATGATTTAAAAAAACAAGATTATTTATTTCTGTTTGATTTGATCATTCTTAGATACATTTCACCGTATGAATCATCATGGAGGCTTCTAAAGATTCCTACACAGTACCGAACCACGGCAGTAATGCAACTTTCATTTCATTTGCCTGGTAAACAAATGTGTATATATCACGAAGGAGAGAGCGTTGACCAAGTCTTAAACAAGGCATCGGTAGGTCAGTCACAATTTCTAGCGTGGATGGAGGCAAACAAGGAACATGCCTTGGCAAATGAGCTAACATATGCTGATTTCCCAACAAAATTCGTCTGGATCTCAAAGCAGCGGCAATGGAGAATACGAAAACAAGGTTTTGCCATAGGCAGACTGGTGTATGTCTCACCTTCCGCCGAAGACGCATATCATTTGAGGATTCTTCTCAATATAGTCAAGGGCCCTGAGAGTTTTGATGACTTAAAAAAGGTTAATGGTGTTATATACTCTTCTTTCCGAGAAGCATGCTTTGCGCTTGGTTTGTTTGACGATGATAAAGAATACATCGAAGGAATTAAAGAGGCCAGTTTTTGGGGAACTGGAAAGTTTCTTCGTAAACTTTTTGCTATAATGCTTCTTTCGAGTAGTGTAGCAGTTCCGATCAACGACTGGAATGCTACTTGGAAAATATTAACTGAGGATTTCTTATATCAGAAAAGACGTGAAGAGAATGACCCAGGTAAGATGGATTTGAAATTTTAAACTATTTTACAAGATTCACATTATCTTAGTTGCTAACAGACTTATTTGTATATCTAGGTTTGGTGTTGACTGAAGCCATATATAAGAATCTTGGTTTGTCAGATATAGAGAAATATATGCGCAGAAACGGTCATTCATTATCCGACTATAAAGGAGAGATGCCAGTCCCTGATGATATTGGAAAGTATAAGAAATCAAATCATCTAATCCGGGATGAGAAATCATACGATCGTGCAAAACTTGCAAACGATCATGTCAAGTTATTTTCAACAATAACCAATGAACAGAAGGATATCTACAATGAGATAATGGATGCAGTTACAAGAGGTATCGGTGGAATGTTTTTTGTTTATGGATATGGTGGGACAGGTAAAACGTACCTATGGAGGCTTTTAGGCGCTGCTCTTCGTTCTCAAGGAAAAATAGTTCTCAATGTTGCATCAAGTGGCATTGCAGCATTGTTATTAGAGGGAGGAAGAACAGCGCATTCTCGGTTTGGAATACCCATAGTTGTGAACGAGTATACATTCTGTAATGTGAGTTCTGGATCACACCAAGCAGAGCTGATTGAAGCAGCCGATCTTATTATATGGGATGAGGCTCCGATGATGAGCAAGCATTGTTTTGAGACATTGGATCGGACTATGCGTGATATACTAAAGTGTGATAAGGTCTTTGGTGGAAAGGTCGTTGTTTTGGGTGGTGACTTTCGACAAATACTCCCTGTTATTGTCGGAGGCAATAGCTCAGAGACTATATTGGCAACTGTGAATTCTTCTCATATTTGGTCTGATTGCAAAGTTCTGCAGCTAAAGACAAATATGAGACTGTTTCGTGGCGATAATGATTTTAATAATCAAGAAATTGAAGAATTCGCCAAGTGGATCTTGGATGTTGGTGATGGAAAACTAAATATTCATGATACCATGGAAGATGAATTAGAAATTCCAGCGGATTTGCTGATAAGCGGAGAAGGTGATCCTGTTAAGAGAATAGTCTCGGAGATTTATGGTCAATCTTACACAACCACTCGTGAACCAGTTTTTTTTTCAGGAAAGGGCAATACTCAGTCCATGGAATCAGGATGTCGACGTTATCAATGAATTCATGCTATCAGAACTCAAAGGTCTTCGTTATATGATTTATCACAATTCCTTTTAATACGTATTTATATTATAATTAAAATATATCAGTACTAACATAGTTTGAATTGTTTTTATTAGGTGAGGAACATGAATACCTAAGTGCCGATAGCATTGATACTTCAGACACAAGCAAAATAGACGAAGTCGTCTATACACAGGAGTATCTTAATAGTATAAAGGTTTCAGGGCTGCCAAATCATTCTCTCAAGTTAAAGATAGGAGCTCCAATAATGTTGCTTAGAAATATTGATCCTAACGGTGGTTTGTGTAATGGTACGAGGTTGCTTATTACTCGGTTAGCTAGGCATTTAATCGAGGCAAGCCATATAACCGGTAAGAAAATAGGAAAAAAGGTTATCATACCTAGAATGTTTGTGTCACCACCAGAAGCAAGGTTTCCTTTTAGAATGCGCCGGAGGCAGTTTCCTATTACCATAGCTTTTGCTATGACTATAAACAAAAGTCAGGGTCAGACTCTACAAAAGGTAGGATTATATTTGCCAAAGCCAGTGTTCTCGCATGGTCAACTTTATGTCGCCGTCTCTAGAGTTACATCACGCCAAGGGTTGAAGATTCTTATTACAGATGAGAATGGCAAAGCACAAAAGAAGACAATGAATGTTGTTTACAAAGACGTGTTTGAAAACATTTATAGAAATTCGCGGTTGGTTTGAATAGATTGTTTTGTTTGCTACTAAAAGTATGTTTAGATTACATTGGATATTAGTTATAATATTTTGGTGGTCATTGGTATTTTTAAACTGTTTTATCTTTTATATTATGTTATATTTAACTGATTTATCTTTTGGATCTTCTTATATTATGAATTAGTGTTCACTATGATAACGTCTTGAATAGCTCTGTTTGTTTGAATTAAAAAATTAGTAAATGATCAGTTGTTATAATATGCTTTTTTAAGTATATATATTAAACATTATACAAATCAAATTACAAGCTTCCAATTATGGTTTGAATATTATATTTTTAACTCAACAAACTTTCGAAATATGGATCGAATATTAAATTTAAAACACAAAAAACTGTTTAGGTATTATATTCAAAACTAAAAAAACTTTTGAAGAGCATCAGCCCGCGCAGGGCGCGGGCCAGCCACCTAGTATTATACTATAAGGCACTTCTAGCTATTAGGTGATTTTTCTATTTTTCATTCCGAAATTGTCCCTCGTGTTCACAAGAACGGTGGATATCAACTTATGGATACCAGATTAAACACAGATTTTAAAAATAATAATTATTTTCCCCCTTTTGTTTTGTTTTGTATTTTTCTGTATTATGAAAGATTTAAAACAATTTTTTTTGTTAGAATGAATTCTAATTTTATTTTGTCATTGTTTTAAGATCCATTATACTATATCAAACAATAAACTTTTCAAATAACCTTTATAAAAAATTCAAAAAAAATCAGAAATCTACTTAGATATCCATACACAAAATACAATGTGGATGATGCATGATAGACATATAACATAGACACGATTAAGTGGATATGTTTTCATTCATTTATTTGACGTCGATATACATTTTATATTGTCCATAATTTGGACATGATTATGTGGATAGGTTATGGATAATATAATATGTATATCTATATCGAATCTATCAAAGAAAACATATCCACACAATCATGTCTACATTGTGGACAAGAGCACTCTAACCTACATATCTAGAACTCTATTGAGGTGGCTACTCACTAATCATGATTATCTCCCTTGATCATTTGCAAGATGGATAGACAAGCATGATTAGTTGATGAGAAATGATAGAAGATGGACAGATGATGATGAAATGGTGATTAAAGCTCTTAAACTCTCTTGATTCAAGAATAAACTGGAGATATCTCTCTCAAAGTGTGTTATTTCACAAAAGAGGCAAAAAGCTGAAGGGAAAATGAGATAATCCTAAGGGTAAAACCCTAAAAAGTATTAATACTAGTCTACTAACCTCCGGGTCAACCCGGGACAAACCGGGTGTTGACCCCAAAAGAAAAATCTTAAAAACGCTGAAGCACCTACACCGAGATGCATTTGTCCGATGTTCTGGCCGGTGTAAAATGTCCTGAAGCTTGTCTTGGGTGTGTGAGCTGACACCGGGATGCAAATGGCCAGTGTTGATCTCGGTGTTGTGGAGAAAACTTGGACGATGGGGCTAGCACCAGGATGCATCTAGCCGGTGTAGAAGCCGGTGTAAAATGAGCCGAACTTCTGTGGGATTCACACCAGAGAGCAGACCTAGATAAAGCTTCTCGGTGAGGGAAATTGTTCTTTCTGCCGAAGATTCCACCTGGATGCTTTTGGCCAGTGTTGCCCCAGGTGTAGAAAACGAGTTAAGGTTACACCGGGTAAAGCATCGGAATGGGGTTGATCGGTGTGGGCAGTGAAGATGATTGGTGCAAGGCTCAGACTACCCTGGGCCGGAGCATCTCGGTGTGGACCTCGGTGTCAGGCTCAATGTAACAAGATCCTCAAAGTGTGTTCAACACAGAGGTCAATATTCCCGGTGTTCATCTTGGTGCCAATGAACTCTCAAAACTTAAACCACTGTAACTTTCTGCTCAGTATTCATAATCCCAATCTTCCAGCTCCAGGTGAAAGAAAGCTCACTCAGCTTCTACTTTGATGAAGGAACCATCTGCATTAGGGAAAGGAAGGTCTCTCGGAGGGTCGATCTTTGAAGTGCACCAGAATGCCCTGGAAAAAGGCCTCACAACCCGTGTTCAACCTCGGAAACATTATCTCCCAGCTCAGAGCTCAAAATTGTGTGATCTCAAGCGTTCTGGAAATAGGACTCAAAGCTCTTGAATCTTGTTGAAGGCTCCGAAAACTGAATCGGTGAAAAATGGCTTCGTCCTTCGTCGTCTCTTAAGCACATCAGATCGGTTTGGTATGCAAGCAAGACAGGTATGTCTTCTGATGGCTATAAGTCTCAGCTCACTGGTCCGAATCCACTAATTCTAACTTTAATGATGCCCCTGGAAGATGAATCGGACGTTAAGACTCCCCGGACATGTGATCTTTGAGACGTATGGGCACAATAGGTTTTAGCCGATAAATCGTTATTGCGGTAAACCTTTTAGCCAAAAAAAAAACTCATCCCTCTCGGCATAAAGATTTAGCCGATAACTCCTGGTCTGGTACAGCATTTGGCCGATAAAAACTCCACCTGGTAAGCGTTTTAGCCGAGAAAATGTAGCCTGCGGCACATGGCTTTGCCGATGGAACCAAAACACCATTTCCACCATTTCTGATCCTCCAAACTCCATCTCATCACTTGGTTTCACCTTTTCTACTCCCTCCAAAGTACCTGTTTAAGACTCCAAACCATGCAAAGACTCACTTGGACCTAATGCAAACTCCTAAGTCTAAAACAATGCCTAAAGACCTAAAATGCATGAAATATGACATGATTTGGAATGAAATATGCAAGCTAAATGATGCATTTTATGAACATATCAACTCCCCCACACTTGTCCCTTGCTTGTACTCAAGCAAAAAGAATAAATAAAGAGAGAGGTTGAATGCTTGGGAGTTCATATTCCATAATGAGAGAGTGGATCACTAAAAAAATTCAAAGTTCATTGTCCTAGTTGCTAATTCTAAGATGCAGTGCAAACAAGATTACTCATAAAACGTTTGCCATACTTATCATAAAGTGAATCAAGCCTCAGCATCAGCTTTTACAAGCAGCTCTAGTTCCAACCTTTTGACATTCATTAAAGTGCAAAGTGGATCATGCTCATGCGAATCATGTGAACTCATTTGTCTTGGGACTGGGTTTTGAGACTAAAATGATCTCAACAAGTCACTGGTTACTCCAAGCAAAAGGATCTCTCAATGAATAGCAGACTCAATAAAAGGCTAAGCGTAAAAAGCAATGGGCGCATACAGAGTCAGAACCACATCTACCCATACCCAAAAGATGCTTTCACTCCTTATTCTAAACCCATCAAGCTTCTCTTCTCTTCACCAGCTCTCATCACTCTTTTTCATTTCAACTCAAGGGGAATGATCTCTTTTCTTTTCAAACACTTGGAGAGATTTTATTCTTTCAAACACTTAGCTCTTTTCTTATTCTACTCTCTCTCTTTTTCATTTTTTTATTTTCTTTTTAAGAGACTTTTCACTTCAACACATAGCTTTCTTTTCATTTCTCACTCTCCATTTCTTTTTAGAACACTTGAGAACACATTCCCCTACATAGCATCACTTTCCTCTCATTTTTACCACTCAAAATTTTTCTTTCAGCTCACAAGCTCAAACAAACTCTCACACACTCGCCTAATCCTGGACTAGTCCTTGATGTTGGACTAGTATCTACATGCGGCCCGTTTCTGTCGCTCTAAACCCAACACCATTTACCAAGTCTACTAGAACAAGGCCTCACACAAATGCACACAGTAAGGGTTATTGGCTTCAAAGAAAGGTTTGGTTCAAGGCAGGGAACTGTCTCAAAATGAGAGAGCAGCTATTTGAGCTAGCAAAGAGTAGTAAAAAGGCATAATAAGAAAGCTCAAATATTTTAAGGTACTCATCATTTCACAATGACATGCACAAACATGCTAATTAGATTGTCAAATTATGGTTCTCACTTAGATAAGGCTGGAACTATTCAATGTTTGACAAGTTCCGAGTATGGATCAATCTTGATTTCTTTCTTGTTTGCATGCATCAAACTAGAAACTAGGGCAATGAACTGAATTCTTAAAGTGATATTCTCTCAAGGAAAAACCTATCCTCACTCCCATGCAATAATGCAACCTACATGATTATGCAACTAGACTCAATCCTAAAAATGTGAATGCAACTAAATGAACGTTTTTTTTTGTGAAAAATATTCTGATTTTCAATTTTTTGTTTTGTTTTTTATATGCACTTAGATGCAGACTCAAAATGAAAAGGAAAATAAGATCAAGAACAAACATGGTTAGCAATACTAAACTCCTCCCCCACACTTAAATAACACAGTCCCTTGTGTTATAAAAGCATAAGAAAAGAGTGTAGATCAAGCTCAAAATGCAATATGTACAGAAATAAAATGCAAAATGCTATGTACAAGTTGGAGTTGTTACCTCTCAAGGACTTGGAGGTGGGGTTGGAGGCCCCAAGGAGTAGGATGGATTGCAGGAATGATCTGATGGTGATTTCATTGCATCACGCCGTGCCCTCATCTCCTCATCAGGTGAACTATGATCGCTGTACACCACCAGTTGGCTCTCTTGCTCAGAACTCTCTCCTACAACTTCTCTAGCTTGCAGTGGTTCAATATTTATGGGCTGGGAACTTTCTCCTTTCTCTCCCTTGCTGCTAAGCTCCTTGGTCTTTGCCACTTGTTCCACCCTTGAAGCTGATTAGTATGGTGATGAGCTTGGGCAATGGGTTCAGGCATTCTTCCATTATATAGAGTGAAGAATTACCTTTCACTACCATACTTTGGATCAGGGATCACTGGCTCATCCTCTTGAGCTTCTTTATCATCACTTATTTCTTTCTTTCCCTTGCTCACTCACTACAAGAAAGATCGGCTTTTACGTCGGCAGATATCGACGTAAAATCGACGTAAAAGAGCATTTACGTCGAATTAACGACGAATTAAAAATCGTCATAAAACCGAAATCGTCGTAAAATCATCGTAAAATTACCAACTCCGGAAAATCGTC